TCTGCTGCACAAAAACCAATAGTCTGCAGCATAACTGAGAAATTTAATGTGAATTGATGCTAAACCAGACTAGTTTTAAAGTCATTCACTCAAAATGCTTCTGATCTTTTGAAATTGCAACTTGTTTCTTATTTTGTTCAGTATCTACCTTAACCTAAGCCATGTTATAAACTGTAAAAAGTCCTCTTGATGTGTGATTGGCTGTACTAAGCAGAGAAGATAGAGAAATTGGGCAAGCATATGGTAGAGTGTAGCTGAATTGATGATTAAAGAGAGAAAACAGTACTTAAACACTGCTGAGAATTGAGGGAAACACTGTCTAGTGAGAAGTGATCATAACTTTAATGTTTCTCACATGAACTTGGCTGATATATTCACTTAGATAGCAATTCTTGCTTAAAATTTGATGAATGCATTGTGATTGCAATGATGAGTAATTGGATGAATATCTTGATTGAAAATTTTGCAGAAAACACAGAATTGCAAATTGAAAAATTCTGATATAGCAGTGGTGAAATGGTTTCTGAAAGTGGAAGAATTACCCTTGGTTTAATTTGACTTGCTTGAGGACAAGCAAAAATTCAAGTTTGGGGTAGTGATGAATCCATATTTTAACTGATATTTTAGCATAATTCTAACACAAATGATAAGAAAAATATATAAAGAAAGTAGAAAAACTTAGAATAAGAGAAGGAATTGAATTTTGTTTACATATGTAGTTATTTTAGCAATTGTGAAATTTTTGCTTAGGAATTAAGTTTTTAATCTTGTTTTTATAGGAATAAATTGAGCAAGGATCATATTCATGGAAGTTTGATGACAAGGAAGAGGAAAGAAGCAAGTCTGGACTCCAAAAACTCAAGAATAAGAAATTGCAGACTGGGCGTGATCACTATTGACAGTGAAAGTGATCACTTCAGAGCTCAAAGAAGAAGTGAAGCCTGGGCGTTACCACTTTTATCATTAAAAGTGATAGTTCCAGAGAAGCAAAATATCAGGAAAGCTCTGCGTAACCACTATTGTCATCAAAAGTGATCGTTCCAGAGAGTCTTCAACTTGGCGAGTTGCGCATAGTCACTTTTATCAACAATAGTGATAACGCGCAACTACCTTGGCTCTGCGTTGTCACTTTTATCATCAAGAGTGATAGTTCCAGAAAGCTCTCAATATCAGGAAAATGCGCGTAGCCACTATTTCTGGGAAAAGTGTTAACGCGCAACCAAAAACTCTCTGCGTAACTACTATTTCTCATAAAAGTGATAACGTGAAAATCTGGGAAATTTTATAAATACCAGAAACGATCCGGAAAGAAGGGGTTCTGTTCATTTTCAGTTTTTTTAGTTAGTTTCTGGTTAGAGGAAGTGAGAGAGAGGAGTGGGGATTCAGATCTTGGAGCTTCACGAAGAGGAATTGGAGTGGAGCAAGCTTCCATGGCGTTTCTGAGTTTCTTCTTTTCTTCTTCTCTTTCTTTTTCTTCTTCTGCTGCCATGGCTGTGTAATTCGTTCATAGTTAGGGATTGTAGATCTGAAATGAACATGTTGAATTGATTTAGATCTGGATTTCAAGCTTTGGAATAGATTGAGTGATTGATTCTGAACTTCACGTGGAAATTGAATGGAAATTTGATTAACTAAATTCAGAAGAACTCTTGTCAATGGAAATTGAATTTGTTCTTCAGATCTGAACCAATCACCGAGATTATAGTTTTCTTAGGGATAAGGAAATTTGATCTTGCAATCCTTTGGTTTCTTACACTTAAAGCAATATTGAATTGAATCAGATCTAAGGAATTAGAATGGTTTAATTGAATGTTAGGTTCACTGAGTTAAGGAATTAACCTCTGAATAGTATAATGTGAAACTGATTGTCATTCTTTCCAATTGCTTGTTAATTCAGAACTTTATTGATTAAACATTGGAGTTTTGGTGAAGCAATTCCCTAGCTATGGTTTCTTCTTCTGTTATCACATAATTGTGTGTTCATTATTCTGTTTTCTGCAAGTTCATTTTACTTTTAATTGTTCCAGTTTGCTGTTATTAGATGTTACCACTCTCCTTACAATTTTGAAAAAGCTTAAATGGTTATAATTCTATGAAGTGATACTTGAATCTAAATTTCCTGTGGAGACGATATTTGGATCTTAAATTTACTCATCACTTGCTGCAATCCTAGTGCACTTGCTAGTGTAGATTGCTAACAACAGGTAATTTTTTATTTTTTATTTTTTTTAATGGTGAGATTCAAAAGATAGTGCATGATAATAATAATAATAGAGTTTACTCTTACATTAAAAAGATATTCTCCAATCAAGTGTTAATTCTAATGAGAAATAACATCATTGTTACTTTTACAACTGCTGTTGCACTGAAAGTAAACTGACTAGCAAGTATACTAGTGTTGTTGTAGCAAGTTATAAAAAAATCTTAGAATCAAATTGAGTTTCAAGTATCGTCCTCAGGGAATAAAGTTCTCAATTACCACTTCACAAGATCACAATTAGTTGAGCTTTACAAATTTCAGATGGATTTGGTATGAATGTATCAAAAACGAAATTAGAAAGTAAAACAAAATGGTTAGTACAAAAGTATATAGTAAATAGATGTAGAAAAAGTAGTTAGGAAATTGTTTCACCAAAACTTCAACATTGAATCAATAAAGTTCTGAACTTTCAAGCATTTAGATGGAATGACAATCAGTTTCACGTTATATTAATCAAAGGACAATCCCTTGCCTCAATGAATCTAACATCTAATCAAATCACTCTAATCCCTTAGATCTAATCCAATCAAATGTTGCATTAAGTTTGAGAAACCAAAAGATTGCAAGATTAAGATATCTTATCCCTAAGAAACCAATAACCTTGGCAATTAATTCAGATCTGAGAAACAAATTCAATTCCCATTGATAAGAGTTCCTCTATGATTAGTTGATCAAATTTCCATCCAATTGCTACTTTAACAGCAGAATCAATCACTTAATCCAATCCAAAACTCAAAGTTCAGATCCAAAATCAATTCAACATTTCCATTTCATATTCACAGTTCCTAACCACAAAGAGTTTAAGCAAACATTACAAAAAGAGAAGAGAAGAAAAGAGAAGAAGAGAATGAACAAAGAAGAAACATCTTCAAGCCAATCTCCAATTTGATCCCTCAAGAAATGAAGCTTGGTGTTCGTCCTCAATCTCCCTTTCTAACTCTCTCAACAAAAAAAACAAATGGAAAATGAATAATGAACAAAAAAACTTTCTAAATTCCTGAGCTAACTGCCTTTTATAGAATTCCCGCTCTGCTGGCGTGATCACTTTTTCCAGTAATAGTAATCACGCAGAGGCTAATTCTTCATTTTCACTTGCGCATGTTCACTTTTGCTGGTGATAGTAGCCACGCGCACTTCAAAGTGTTCACTTTTGTTAAAAATAGTAGCCACGCAGAAGCTTCCCTTATTGATGTCATGCGCATGTTCACTTCTGCTAGAAATAGTGAACACGCAGAAGCTACCTTCTTGCGCATGTTCACTTTTGTGGATAATAGTGAACACGCGCAGCTACTCTTCTTAGAGGACTCTCTGGAACGCTCACTTTTTCCAGAAAAAGTGATTACGCAGAAGCTCTTCTCATTGCAACCTCTCTGGAACGATCACTTTTGCCAGCAAAAGTGATTACGCAGAAGCTCTTCTTCATTTTATGGTTCTGGAGTGATTACTTTCACCAGCGAAAGTGATCACTCAGAGGCTGTTCTTCAATTATCAACTTCTTTCCTCCAATTTTTGCTACTTTTCTTCTATTTTTCCTTTGATCATCCAATCCTCATGAACTTAGCTTAGAATTCCCTATAAAAGCATACTTGAAATGTCACTTTTTACATAGAAAATCAATGAATTTTAAAATAACTATGTTTAAAAGTGACATGCAACATTTTATTATTTTTTTAAGGGTTTTCTACTATTTCTAGCATGTTTTCTTTATTAATTGTACTAAAAACTATTGTAAAATACTAGTAAAATATGGATTCATCAATCATCAAGTAAGACATTGTAAAAGACATAAAATTATTAATAAAGAACTATATTGTTGAATTGTTTTAGATATAGTTTAGAAAAATGTCAAATTGATGATTTAAAGATTAAAGTGTCATTAAATTAGTCTTTCAAAATTTTGAGTCACTAAATTAAAATTTCAAAGGTTTATCGCTATCATATTGATTCTATATAGGTTTTATCATCACATTTTTCTCTTTAAAGATTTAATTTGTCACTAAATTATTTTAAAAAATTAAAATATTACCATATTGGTCCTTAAAAAAGATTAAAATGACAAGAAAAAGAGTTAAACATGGTAATAATTTTATATATATATATATATATATATATATATATATATATAATTTCATTAAATTGTTTTTTATGAAAGATTAAAGTGATAAAAAAAATTTCATTTAATGACAAAAACTGTAGAAGACTAGTATGATTAAAATTGAAATCTTGAAAGATTAATTTAGTGAGGCAAAATTTTTAAAAAATTACTTAGTGAGACTTTCTCTATTTAATGTTTGATCGCTGATGCAAATAATATTCCAATATATAAGCACTACAGAAAAATTGTTGTGATAAATTAACATTGTATAGCATAAAGAAATCATCACTTAAGTTATGAAAGGAAATTCTTTTTGCCATACTTTCTAATTTTTTTAAAACATTTCATCGATTGCTTTCAATCCGTACAATATAAAAAATTATATATAATATATACAATTATGCATATGTTTAAAAAAATCCAGATTTCATATACGTATTGCGCTGGTTTACACTTGTTTTAATAAAGATCTGAACTCAGGAACTTGGGTCTCCACATTCTTCGGCTAGTTTTAATTTGAGCAGAGTTTGACTCCTCATCCTGGTTGTGATTCCCTTGGTCTTTTGGTGCTTCTTTGATCGTAATGAAGTATTTTTGAGACAAAAGTATACAAAAAGGATAAAAATAAATAAAATAATTATAAACGTATACAGTATCAACTTTTGCATGTTCAAATAACAGTTGATTCTCGTGTCTCTACTAGGAACACAATAACAGAGTAGCATCAGCTGCAAGAGAAGTCTATAACTCGTATCTCATCTCGTACACCTTTGAGATCAAGATTTAAATTACTTTAGTTTAACTCGATATACTACCATTTATTTATTTTCTAATCATTGGCTGCTAAGTGTGGCATCAAATTTCGCTTCCTCTTTTAAAATTAATTATATTAAATTAATAACAACTTTCACCAATAATCTAAATCTTAAATAACTTCCAACAAACATTTGTTGCCACACTGAAAGCTAACAAGAATCAAATTGCTCATTGGGTTTACTAGAATCCCGAGGCACATAGGAATCAAGCCAAATAAATCAGTCTTTGCTACCAAGTGGAAGAGAGTAGAAATACGAGAATGGAATGTAACTCTTTTTCTACTTCCATTTTCCTTTCCATACAATCCCTAGTTGCTTATAACCCAACAATCTTTTTTCTTTCATTTCCTTGCATTCTTAGGCGAAGAAAAGTCATCGAAGCATGCCAATTTTTTGTTATAACTAGCATCATTATTCATCAATTGAAGGATGTGTTGTGTTTGGTAATCTCCTGCCACGCACAAATGAACTGAATAGATGCAGTGCTCTTGCAGGTTGTGCGTAAGGTACCATGTGTGCAGCACCCCTTACAGTGGCAAAAGTCAACAAATTTCCATACTCTGTCACCCAACCACCAACCTATATGCCACCAATGAGATCATCAAATTATAGCTTCAAATTAAAATTGCAAAACCATAACCACAATAATGCCAATTTCAGTGCAAAAAGGAAAACTATAACTAAATATAGAAATTGTTCATGTACCTGGCCTTTGTGGAACCAAGCTCCATATGGGACTGAAATCTTGAACTTCAATTCGTGAGCTAGTTCACGAATGAGTGTTCGAGATCCCAATAATGGCACAACAGAATCTTGGTCTCCGCTGTTATCATTTCATTTTAAATAATTTGAGTAGAAACAAAAGTATATGTCATGAATCAAAATAGCTCGTAATATGGGGTTGCCCAAGAAGGTTCTCCCACTTTGAATTACCTGAAAATCCATACTGGGATATGCTTTTGGACTATCCTTTTGAGAATTGGAAGGATGTTGATGTTACCATCAGTGTCACTATAGTTTAGAACACTGAAATGAAGAAACGTGGTCAGTAACACAAGTTATAGATGGTAAAAGATGAAGTAATATAAAATAAATAAATAATATATATATATATATATATATATATATATATATATATATATATTAATTAAGATGTTTCACATTAGTTAAGAATAGAGTCAAAATACTTCTTATAAGGGCTAGGCAACCCTTCTCTTATGAGCTAGTTTTTGGGAGTGAGTTAGGCTAAGTTTCTTAACATAATATTAAAGCCTATTCAGTTTGAACATTAGGCTACCCACAGATGTCTAATCCTGCAAATTTCATGGACAAGATATCCCGTCCTAAGCGTGAGGGGTGTTAAGATGTTCCACATTGGTTAAGAACAGAGTCAGCCAAACTATTCTTTATAAGGGCTCAATTTTGGGAGTGAGTTAACTTAAGTCCAAGTTGCCCAAATATAAGGGTAGAAAATCATAAAATAGAGCCTATTATTTTCAGTTTGAATCACAAAGAAATAGACATGATTACTTCACAAGACCCAAAAACCCATGACAAAATTACCCACAACCTAATAACAAGAAGCCCAAAACACTAATAACAAAAGTAGTCATATAGGGAAAGAAAATAGGGTCTATGGTTGTGATGTCAAAATGATCTAAACAATAACATTAAACTAAAAAGCGCAACACAAGTGACATAAGTCTAAGCAGTTATAACAACTTAATAACAAAAAATTGTCATATAAACCAATAGATATGACAAAATATTAAACATTCAATTAATTCAAGTCACCATGGGTAACTATGGTAGTCTAAAAAAGATTAAAAAATTCAATGCGATTATAGTGAAATAAGTTTTACTTACCGACTACACATGGACCAACTATAAGGAAGATTAGTACGGTTTGCATGCAGAGCCTTTTGAACCTCAAGGAGGTTGAAGTAGAAACTTCTTTCTAAAGTCATACAGACATCTACACCCACACTTACTTTAGTTGCCTGCGTTAAAAAAAGTCAGTCAATAAATAAATTCATGAAAAAGAAAAATTGAAGTATCGCCCAAAACAGAATTAGAAGAGGCCTATACCATCTTTTTCAGTCTCAGTTCTTGTTCCACTATGGATGGATAACAAACATCTAAAATTACATCGTAGTTATTTATATAATCCCCAACTATTATATTTGCTTCATATATGGCTTTGTTGCACGAATGAGAAAGGTTGTGAGGACTTGCATGGTCGTAATCATCAAAATCACAATCATTCATAATGGCAAGGCCAACTTCATCAGAAATCATTCCATGAGACCAGAAGTATTCGTATGTAGCAGGTGCATCCCGATCAAGTCTCAAAAGCGGGTTTCCAATCTACTCCAGAAAAAACATAGGGGAAATTAATGACTTTTTAAAATATCTGTAAGCTAGATAGTTAACTGAGACTAGTCCAATTGTGACACAAATTGAAAATTTTGTGAAAATTAACGCCAAATGATGTATCAAATGAATGGGATCTTACAGCAACTCCTTTAATATTGAATTTGAAACCAGTTGAACGAGCATTATGGTCCAGTAAAGCATTAGTTAATTGTGGTATATAATGCCCTGTATAAAATTATATATGTTAATAAGCGATTAAATATATCATGAGACCAGGGCTCATAGGTAATAAAGGGAAGAATGAAAAATAAAATACAAAAATCGGTGCTATAATATTATAGCATGCCCCCTCTAGGAACAATGTCATAGTTTATCACCATTTGCATAGAAAATAGTATTAAAACTATAATATTGTCGAACCTGATAAGTTGTAAAATATAGTTTATCACGTCTGCTAAAATATAGAATATTTTCAATCATGAAATTTCAATTAAATAAGTTGTAAAACTTGATTTGATAATTATTTGTCGAACCTGCATAACTTTCTCCAGTAAGGAACAGCTCTCTTGTTCTGTATGATGGAAACTTCTCGTACCATTTCAGCATGAACACGTACATATCATTGGCTGCAAAAAAACAAACGTATGTGTTCACACAAAATCTCTCACTTTTCGGCATTATCATTTAGACTAAGGTCTTTTCTCCAACTATTGAGTTACTGGGACCTACATACTCTACTGGTCTTTTCACCAGAAGGAAACCTTCTTTGGTGAGATTCTATCATCTTTTTCTTAGTAAGTGTTACTCTAACTCTCTCCCCAATATATTCATTCTTGATCATATCTATGCTCTGTTACTATAGTATTAAATTATCGTTGGCTTTAATTTTGTTCTCATCGTGTTAAAATTTTATGACACATTTTTCTTATGTGAAGTAACTGATGTTCCGTCGCTAAGTCTGTATTGCTTAGCGTAGGCTTTTGTTGCCTGAGGGAAACAGATGAAGAACACAATTTTATAAGCCCTTCTTGATTTAATTCACTCAGCTTGAATCTTATGAATTACATCTTCCTTAATCTCTTCATCACTTTGTATAAGGTGAAATCTTATTTATATGATTAAATTAAATATTTCATAAATTAATTTCTAGCTTTCCCAGCCATAGACAAACACACAGGAATATGAAGGGGCAGGGGATGCAGTGATTTCATTTTTTCTCTACTGTTTCTAATAAAATACAACCCAACAAAGTCAAAATTAAAAAATTAACCATTAAAGAAGTAGAAGCACCATGGTAGCAGCAGATGACAAAAATAAAAATAGGCTAATTTAACAATTTTCTTACCAGTGGAGGCGTCTCCAGTGTTATAATCTGAAGTTGTATTTGAGTATGACCAACCAACTCCAGCAGGAGACTCCACAAAGAGGAGGTTGGAAGCTATAAATGACACATGAGGAGGAATCAATGCATCTAATCAATCTTCAATATACAAAAGGAGTAATTCATGTCAAATGATATTAATAGTGTTCAATGTGTATTACCTTTATTCCAAGACTTGGAATTTCTTCTTAGTCCACGTCCATCACCTTTAGGATAAAATGGACCCAATTCAGTGAAAGCACCTCCTCCCATGGAGGAACATCCAGGACCTGAAAAGGAATGGAACTCGTTCTAAAACATTCGGGTTACACAAAAACAGGCCAACCACAATTTTCTCATTCAGCTTACAACCGTCAAACAAACTCATTAAGTTACTATCTCGTCTTGTGTTATGTGAACGTGTGCAAAATTCGAATTATACAGTTCTATTATCATCTGGAGCAAGAAATGCATAGATCATTCTCAATTCTCATGATGTTATTTTTTCCATGATCATCATGGGCCATTTTAATTTTTCCTTTTAAAACTAGAGAATTGATTTTTATTCCCTTAATATTGCATGCTAAAAATTAAAAAGTTGAATTTTTCTGTATGTTATATGATGGATTGACAAAAATTTCATGAAAGGAGTCTTTTGTTTGCTTTTTTGGGTGCAACATTAAAGAAAAGCCTCTATTGGATGATTTGATGTAGACGCTATAGCTTTTGAAAAATGAACTTGTATGATGGTATCTTCCCCCAAAATAAAAAAGTTTCTGTCAAGTGAGAACACAAGTATTACAGAAAGCAGAGTCGTTTCAAGTTTTTGATCAGTAATTCAGCAGGATCTGCGCAAAGAGTGCAACAGTAGAAGCAAACAGAACTTTCTGTTAAGTAAAAAGACAACACAAACTGTAATTGGTTGTAGACAAGACAAATGAATGACACCTTCCTTTACTTTAACATAAAAAGAAAGGAAAGAGAGGAGGAATATATGAGAAATAGGACAAAATAACCAACAGCTCGCCTAAAAAGCATAAAAAGATAAAAGAAAATAATAAATTAAGCATGAAGAATTATTATTCATAGACAGAGGAAGCTAAACAAGCCAAGCCAAACCAGAAATTTCTAAGAATGAAAACCGTGAATGAAACAGAACTGCAAGAAATAACCATGAAAATTAACTCCATTCCATGAACACCCACATTAGGATTCACTTTAACCAACTCAACTCTCATAACAAGCTAGAAAGGAGCAAATACAAAAAAAAAAAAAAAAAAAAAAAAAAAGTGATGAATGAAACAAGGCGAGTTTTGAAAATTGCAAGCCGACATGATGAATTGAGCAAGAGTAGTAAAGAGTACCATAACCAACCTCCATTTAGCCAAAGTGTGAGGGGCTTCTTATCAGGGTCTTGCTCAGACTCCACAAAATAATAGAAAAGGCTCCTTCCATGCTTGACATCTACATCAACATACCCAGCATATTGCTTAAACCCAACCTTAGGTTGGCCAGGCAATCTCACAACCAGATCCTCACTTGGATACCCTTCTACTCCTATTGTACCCAACAAGCTGCCACACCCCACCCCAATTAAGACCATTACCAACCAACACCTACCCATCACCCAAAAAGCTCCAATACCCTCACTTGAAACCCACCCTTTGTCCATTCTCTCAGAATTTGTTTATCCTTATTAGCTACAACACATATACAATGGACTAATCCTAATGAACCTGCTCCTCCGTCTCAAAGAGGCAATATTTTTTCTGTTCTTTTTCTAAGACAAAATGAACAGAATTAATTATGGTATTGTCTCTTTAATGAACATTTGTTCTGTTAAGAGATAGGAGAGCCACGTGAGTCATGGGGTTTGTCAAAAAGGTACATCCCTACTACACCTCAAGGTCTGATTCGCTTGGAAAATGCTCAAATGCATGAAGGAATGCAGATAAATATAGGTAATAGAGACAGGTAGAAAGAAGCACAATGGAGCAGGTTTCGGCTCAAGCAAGTGATTTCATGATTTTCATGAATTTAATTTAAAAGGGAAAAAGAACATTAATCACAGAGGTTAAGGAAAAAGGGGCACAGTTGATAATGATAGTGGTAGGCTAAATATTCAAAAGTTGATAAGATAATCATCATTCATAAGACGAGTCAACCAAGTCGTCGTTTGGACATATTTGACTGGTGATTTCACGATAATAATTCGTTATTTCAATGATTAAAAATTAATATTTTTATAAAATTATATATAACTGTGCATATATGTATATATATAGATAGAATTTTCTTATAGCAATGAATTTAAGTTAAATCTAATAATCAATAAAGTAATAAATTATAACTTATTAAATTTAAAATAAATAAAAAATTCAGATTAAATATAAAAATTTTTAGACTGATATTAATATAAAAAAATTATTTTTCATATATATATATATATATGTATTTTAAATATAAAATAATACCTAAAATATTTCTATTATTGATATATAAAATATTTTTTTATTATTTATATAACATTATTTTTTATCTTTTTATTATATTATCCATTTTATTATTATTTTTATTTCTCCTGTCTCTCTTTTTATATATAAATTAATTATACAAAATTAATTTACAACTAAAACTAACATTTCATATTTTATAATAAGTGGAGAGCTTTTTCAATATTATAAAAAATCATATTTTCACTATTATTTAAAATTAATGTACAAGGTAACATTATTCATGCAGTTGATTCGAAAGTTTAATATTATTTAAGTAAGATTTTATATTTGAATTTTTGTATATATAAAAAAAATTTTAATAATAAATTTACTCACTATATTTAGATGTGTCTATGTTAAATCTAAATTAAATTAGATAAAAAAAAATGAGTTAACAATGATTTAGGCATAATTGGATCGCTATTCTATTTCCTTTACGTACTTTTTTTCTCACTTTCTGCGTCTCACACATTTTTATTTAAGGTTATTATTTAAAAATTCTTAAAGATACTTTATACCTTTGCAAACCATGCGCGGAGCGCGGGGCTCAAATCTACAACTCATAATACTACTAGATTCTATGCATACAATGATACCTTTTTTTTCTTTTTTCTTTTTCCCATTTTATACCTTATAGGTTGTCTTTGTAATTTTAATAGAAAATTTTAAAATTATATATAGTAATAAATATCTTCTTTAATAATTTTAAAATTCTTTATTGAAATTACAAAGACAACCAATAAGGTATAAAATACAATATATATATAAGTCTTGTTACCTATTTAACTTAATCTTATTAATATAACAAAATATTTATTAGTAATAAAACAGGTATTGTCAGGCTAGAGATTTATTATTCAGTAATCTATAATATTTTATACTTATTCAATGTTAATTGAAGGATTATTTGGTATTGGAATAGATTTAGATGGAGTTTGAAATTATTTAAAAAAAAAAAAAAAAGTAAACAGTACCGTATGAACAGTGTCGGATGAACAGTAAAACCGCCTATGAACAGTGCAAACCGCGTATGAACAGTGAAAACCGCGTATGTACAGTGACTGCTGACGTCATCAGTAACATCATCATAACGTCATGGCTGACGTCACATACGCGTACAGTGCGTGTACAGTATTTTCCGGCGTGAATAGTGCCCTAAACAGTGTTTCCAGCATGAACAGTGTTTCCGGCGGTGAACAGTAAATTTCAAAAATTTTCTATAAAAAAGGGGCTTCACACGAAATTTTCATTTCTTCACCCCTATCCAAGGTTCTCAAAGGTTCTAAGGCCAAAAACTACCATTTCTCTCATACTAAACCTTCCTAAACTTAGATTTCTCGCCAGATCTGAGATCCTACGTCTATTCTGAAGGATTTGAAGTAAGTTTCTTTAAGTTTGAAGCTAGATTTACCGTTCGTTTCTCTTCTCCTTCTCTTTCTCATAGAAGTTCATGGTGTTCTTAGGAGAAACTCCGTTCTAAAGCCGAATCTTCGGTGAATCTTGCATTAAAACACGTAATATTCGGTAGATCTAGTGTGAATAATCTTTCTGAGGTAAGGGGAGTTTACTTTAATCTATGAACTACGTTTTGAACGGTTTAATATGCTATTTCAAGATGTTTTGATATGATTTTGTTAGATCTTTTGAATAAAAGCTATTTTCTAAGCTGTAACTGCTGTTAATTGATTTAAAATGCTGAGATTTTGGCTGATCTATCTTAAACTTGCCTTAGCTGAGCTGTTAAAATAACTTTGGCGGTGTGCATCATGCTGAGATATATATTTTGCATCATTATAGAGCCGAGTTACATGTTTAGGTGGGTAGACATGTAACGGTAAGTTCATGCTGAGCTGCTGTGTTGTGTTGTCTGGATCCAGATACCAGAATGGGTCGCTCCCGGACCGGCTCGGTTCCTTCTGGATTACTTAGGCTGTGAAACCAGTTGGAAACCGTTTTCATGCTGTGCATTAGATGGGCTGGAAATGCATGGGATTATTGCTGTGAGAAATATTTTGCTCTATATATATATATGATTTTATTTTAAGTTTGGTAAGCTCACCTTTGCATTTCTTTCTATGTCGTTGTGTGCGTGTGTACTGCGATGATCGTACGGTGGTACGTGAGCAGATGTAGCAGGTGTTGCATCTACTTCACAGGCTGAGGGGCTAGTGAAGAAGTGTTAGAAGCTGGGGTCAAGTAATACTGCATCAAAGTTCTTTTTCCCTTATATTTTGAGATCTCATGTAGAGGGAGCTACATAGTATAATTTTGGGTATTTTGAATATTATGAACTAATGTAATATTGTGTTGTTTTATTAGATATTTGTTGTAAGAAACTCTGTTTTATTTTGAATGAGAAGAGAATTTCATATTTATATTCTCTATACTTTATTTATTTTAAATAAGTTTGTGATGTAGAAACAATGTTCTCGGTTTCTTATAAAAGGGGTCGTGACATTTTAGTGGTATCAAAGCATGGTCTAGGTAAACCTACGGGGTGAGGTTGTTAGACGTTAGTTGTGCATAATAGACATGTGAATTTTAGCTGTGAATCATATATCATAATTTCTAATCATCAGGTTGTGAGGGAACGAGCTTGATCACCTCGGTTCTCAGACATGACTGATGTAGAAAATTTTGGTATATGATACTGGGGTGAGCTATAGGCGATTCATGCTGCATGAATAAAATGTTGTTAAGCTAAGTTGTAAATGATTGTTGAGATAAGTGTGTTTGCTATGTTGTGTGAATGCTGATATGATGTTGTGCTTAATGCTAAATTGATTAAATTGTTATGATATACTAAATATGAATATATCACTGTAAGCTGAATCTGTGAATATAAGTTATGTGATGGTATTACTGAATGTATTAAACGTTAGTAAACTAAGCTAGTCTATATATTAGGATGGCTAGACCGAGGAGATCTGCTACAAACCCTCCCCTCCTGCTGACGTGAACCAAATGGCTCACGCCATGGAGGCCATGGCAGCCACTGTTAGGCAGAGTCTAGATATGATTCAGCAGCAGCAAGCTGCAAACCAAGCCGCTGCTGTAGCACAGGCAGCAGCAGCTTCTGCCTCAGCTGCACCTCCTCCTGAATACCATGGTTTGTCAGAGTTTAGGAAGAATGATCCCCCTCAATTCACGGGAGTGGATGGACCAGATGCTCCTGAACTCTGGATCAGGGAGATTGAGAAGATCTTCCTAACTATGGGTTGTGTCGAGGAGAGAAAGGTGTTATATGCTACTTATATGCTGACAGGGGATGCAGAGATGTGGTGGCACGGAGCTCGTGCTATGCTGGAAACCCGAGGTGAAGTAATCACTTGGGCTGTATTTAGAAGTAGTTTTCTGGGAAAGTTTTTCCCTTCTCATGTTCGTGCTGCCAAAGAACGAGAGTTTCTAAACTTGGTGCAAGGAAACTCATCAGTCTATGAGTATGCAATACAGTTTGAGCGGCTCTATAGATTTTATTCTTACCCGACCTCGGAGGAGTGGAGATGTCAGAGGTTTTCAGACGGGCTGAGAACTGACATAAAGAGGATTTTGATTCCACTCAGGATTACTGAATTTGCTGACTTGGTGGATCAAGCCACCATTATAGAGAGTCTTAATGCAGAGGATGTTGGTGGAGTTGGGAAGGCTCCATCTAGTAGAGCTGCTAGTAGCTATGGTAATGGAAGTAAGGGTGCTAAGAAGGGCCCCTACAGTCGGTCGCTACGCCAACAACAATCTCGACCATCTCAGTCGAGAGGATCGGCAACATCAGCCTCGGTGCCAATAGGGACTGCTACTTCTACATTTCAGCCTAGGGGAGAAACTTCTTCCACCCCTAGAGCCTCAGTGCCGCAGATTGTCAGATGTTTCAGATGTGGTGGGCCACACTACCTGAGCCAATGCCCACAGACTGATGTCAGAGTTTGCTTTTCACGCCAGCAGCCAGGGCATCTTGCTAGGGACTGTCCTACGCCTAGTGGGGCAGTTTCGTCTTCTGCTAGCGCCTTACATGCTGTGAGACCTAAAGTGACTAGAGCTCCGACAAGAATTAGATCGAGAGCAGAGGGACGTGTATTCACTACTTCTGCATCAGAGGCAGCCCAGGCGACAGATCTCGTTCAGGGGACAGCGGTAGTGGCAGGTACACCAGTGAGTGATCTAGGATGTGAATTGGTAGTATCAACACCTACTTTAAGTTCGATTAAGACTTCGACAGTTTGTGTTAGGTGCCCCATAGTAATTGAGGGACGAAAGTACAAAGTAAACCTTATTTGTATCCCGATGTCAGGGTTAGATGTAATCTTGGGTATGGATTGGCTAACTGTCAATCGTGTGCTAATCGATTGTGGCCGGAGGTGTTTAATCTTTCCTGAGCAGCAAGGCTGTGTGGAATTAATTTCTACTCGCCAGGTAGAAACATCCTTAGGTGAGGGAGTATCTTGTTTTGTTTTATTGGGAGTTATGAATGCAGAAGTGGAGCAAAGCCTTCAGTCAATACCAGTAGTACGAGAGTTCCCTGAGATTTTTCCAGAGGATTTTCCTGGAATACCTCCACGTAGAGAGGTGGAGTTTT